AAAGACAAAGGAACTGATGATTTCACCGAGGTTGCAAAAATAGTTGATATTGGTTGGTACCTTCGATTTTGGAATAAGATTCAGAGCGGGTAAACAAAATTGTTTACCAGATGTATTATCAAGACTGTTAAGGAAATATAAAATGAAGAGATAGAGCCCATAATTAATAGTTTAGAGCACTTTAACTTAGAAGATGAATTATATAACATTATAAGAGCTTTGAAGGTAGATACAAGATAAAAGCATATAACTATAGAGCTGGTAGATAAAATATCCAAGCAAAATGAAGAATTAATGAGTATTAGAGCATGTTTGAAAAGAGATATAGAATGGAAAAGCGAAGACAAAGCATTCAAAAATTTAAAGGTGAATTAATATATAAGATAATTGTTTAATGAGAGGATATCGCTTAGTTCCTGATACGTTAAGAAATGATATATTAACAGCTGTGCAAGTCGGACATCAAGACCTAGAAAGAATGAAGATAAACCATGAGAAGTGGCCCATAATGAATAGCTAGATAGAAATATAAGCTAAGAGTTGTGATACCTGCAATATGTGGACAAATGTGCCATCATGAGATAGGGAAGATAAATGGTCAGAGACTAGCATTTCTTGTGAAAGAATACATGTAGATTTTTTTAGAATATGAAAAGAAAAGATCATGGTAGATGCAGACTCAAAATGGATAGATTGTCAGCAGGTTTCAGGTTAATAAACAAAGGTAAATTTGGACAAGATAAAAGATCAGATGGAGGCCCAGCTTTTAAAGGTAGAGCATTTAGTAAATTTTGCGATTGATGGATGATTCAGTTCGCCACCACATTATCCAAGATTCAAAGGTCAAGCCGAGTGTATGGTACCTATAGTTAAGAGTTGGTTAAAAAAAGAAAAATACGGAGTAAAAAAAGAAAAATACGGAGAAGGAAATGGTGGTTATCCATGTTATCATATAACAACACTGAGACGTCTAAAGGAAGATCTCCAGCAGAGATATTTTTAAAGGAAGACAAAAACTGAATTGGATTTATTATAAGAAAGAGTAAAGCAGAAAGAGTCAATATGCGGTAGATTTAAGAATGGAAGTCTGGTTTGGATACTGTTGTTTGATGTTCCAATTAAATGAGAAAAGGGTGTAGTAAAGAAAAAAGTTGAGTTAGAGATTGAAGGACAGTCAGGAACCTGGTCAAGACATAACAGATAAGACCAAGATTGATAGCGCAAGGATAAAAAAATGAGCAAAATTTATGAGAATCAAATTTAGTAATTTATTAAACAACGTGTGTGAAATTGTAGATAATCATAATTTAGTTAATAGGTATGGAATTTGATATTATAATTGAGTTGCTTTTTAAGAACGTATGCGAGATTTATGAGAATCCGAATTTAGTTTTTTTTAAGAAAGTATGCGAAATTCGTGATAATCATAATTTAGTTATTTTTTAACAATATATGTGAATTTATGAGCATAGAAAGTTTTTTAGCAACCAAGGATTGATTATCAAATCATGAAGGGGTAAGTAAATTACACAGAGATAAGAGAATGAAATAGAGATAAGGAAGGATATATATATGCATGTTAATTTTATTTTTAAATGGCGTCATACTTCCGCACGGGAAACAAAATAATTAAGATTTGAACAAGAGAGATAGATAGATCAACAGAATCAAGAAAGTGTTTGGAGGCCACTAGGGAAGAAGTTCATCAGCGATATGGAGAGATGATGGAAGATATCCCGATAAAGAGTAACCCAAGCAGACAGTGGAAAGATTATAACTGGATACAAGAAGAAAGGTGATGATAATATCCTGTTAGGCGTGTAGTGGAAATTATGTTATGAGATGTTGTACAGTGGCATTGGGCGGTTAACAGCTCCTTATTGGCCGTACAAAATGAAGAAGAGCAGATGAAAGGGAATCCCATTTAGAGCGCCCATCAGAATTAATGATTAAGTTAAGAAAGGGGGTGTCGCAAGTGTTGCAAAGATTAGATCGTTTTTTTTATTATTCAAATAGTTATTCTTAAAGTAAAATTTGAATACTTTATAATTTAATAATTGTAGGATTCAATGTAAAACCATTTTAAAATTATTTTATGATTATAATTTGATAAAGTATTATGTAAATTTTATAAAGAGAAAATATTATATAAAGAAGCGAAAAATTATAATTCAATATTCTTTTTTTTTATCTTAAATTTTTTATAATAAATAAAGTTGGAAAAATTAATATAATTATCTGAATATCTTAAATATAATAAATAAATTTGGTTAACTTAATTCATACAATTCATTACCACTACTTTTAAAAAATCATACATTAAATACATTTATAACTATGTATATAGCAAAAAAAATATTAAAAACATAATTTTAAATATAAAAAAATACTAACAACTATTATATAAAAAAATATTTTATAAAAAGAGAGAACATGTCACCCTAAGGAGGAGTGAATACTTAGGAAATTGGAAATCTGCTGACGAAAATAGAATCCCTACTTGATAGAAGGTGTAGTCCCAGGTTAGTGGAAGATAATTTGACCAATGGATAAGGGATATGCAATCAGGAAGTAGGGCGTTATCATTTAAGAGGTCCACTGGTTCTATAGCAAAGGGGATATTAAATTTTTTAGGACAGCTAAAAGGATGTCGTTAATGGATTTGCGGCAGGGTTGGTGACTGCAAGTTGGATTCATTATTCATAACCGGGGTTAGAATTTAGCATTATGTTGGTGGGGGTTTTCTCTATGGCCCAATTCAAAATGAGGTATTCGCCGGAACGGGTAATCAAAGGAGCATGCCTATCTTTTTGAAAGCTATAATCTGGACGGCAGAGAGGGATACGCAGTTGTTATCCAAAAAGGGTCGAGGATAGGCCAGGGTCTATAAAAGTGGAGTCATTGTTGATGTCTTGTGCGGTTAAACGGGTTGAACTAAAGACTGAAAGGAAAAATGGTCTGAAGCCATGAATATGAAAATTTTATATTCAATATATTTCGATAGACCCTTGATTTAAGTTTCATGAGAAACTAACAAATCGCTGTATTTGTAGATCAGAACAAATCTCAGGGTGTAAAGGATTTTGAGTATATTGAAATACTTTTGATTAAAAAAATAATTGATGCAAAGAAATAATTAAATAAGGAATTTCGTTTAGACAAATCGTTGAGGGATTTGTTTATAATAGCCCTTTATCCATCTCTGTTGATAACGTAGACGGTAATGTAATGGAATGAAAGTAAGACTTAAGAAGCATCTCATACTTCGGTTGAGAGAAAAACCTCGAATATATGAGTGTTTATCACTTATGGGAGGGTAAGAATTGATAAAATTGTGGAATAATTGCCGACAACGATATATCGTCATCCAGATACCAAGAATTTAAGGTAACAATAGAGGTAGATTGTATTTCATAGATCATTCTGTGGATTTCAATGCAGAGGGAATGACATAGCCCTCTACCCTGTTGTACACCCTATTGAGTTTTAATTCTATTATTGTTATATTTTAAAAAAGTAGGGTTTAAATTTAAATAGCTGTTTAATATGTATGTTGAATATTCGGGATTTTTGCTACAAAACAATGAGACAAGGTGTTGCCGTTATGGGATTAAAGACATTATTGAAATCCAGTTTTAAAACTACGTGATCAGAAATGCTATTTGTGATAGTTACGCGAGCAAAATGAGAGAAAATTTCACCGCCTCCAGGAATATCCGATTCTAATTGGAGCGAGGATAAAAATGAGGAAATAGATTCCTTGTTAAGTGACGCAATAATTTGTGAAACAGCTTTTCAGAAGAAAGAACCTATAGCAATTGGACGGATTCCAAGCTCCTTTTATAAATGCTATTAAGCGAGCACTGAAAATAGAAATGTTGGGGGGATGGAAGAGGCTCATTAAAAATTATAAATAATAACAGGGTAAGATTAAGTAAGTGTTTTGCAGGGGATGTTAGATTACAAGATATCTTAAATTTAGTAGGCTAATCTTCCTTCACTGTTTCCATTTATACATCGTCAATATAGCAACCCAGAATTATGGGCCATTGAATTTTTAACCCCCGACATTCTAACTATATCTTGCATTCCTCGGGACCAATTTTTTTGATGAATCCTCATTAAATTAATTTTTTTAACTGTAATCAATCACAAAAATCTCAAAATTGGAAAAACATACTAGGTTTTACAATCTCAAAATACCATGTATCAAAAATATTCTATTATCTAAATGTCCTGATAATATACCAGATTCTGTACGCGACACTCATGAACCTCCATCTGCCTATTGTTTATAGGGCAACATGGTGTCAAATATACAGCAGACCTTCGCTCTATGACTTCAAAGACTCATTGCCCCTCCCCAACAACGAGCCCGTTATAAAAGCTATCATAAAAACACGCATCTGCCGACCTCGAGTTCCTACTCAAAACAAAATATTAATATCAAAAAGGACTCTTCTGGAAGCACCATCTTCATACAAGATATCTTGAAACCTAACATTGCCTGCAAAACACTTTTAACAACTTTACCGGTTATTAAATATAATCTCATTGTTCCCCCTCCCCCCAATAATTCCTATTCTGTTCGGTGCTCGCCTAATAGATAGAGAGATTAGTCCAATCGCGATAGGTTTTTAAGAGCCATTTAAAAAATTATTGTGTCATGTATCAATTAATCACTTTCCTTATTCTCATTCCGCTCTAATTAGGGTTTGGTATTAAATATTTAAAAATATTTCAAATCAAATTATGATAATTATATAAAATAAATAAATATAAAGAACCAGTTTAACAAATGTATTTATAACGATTCAGTTCATGGTCTTAAGGTTTATTTTGGTTTCCAGGTTAGGTTTGGTTCGACACCCTACTTGTAATTATCAAATTTAGCAATAATCATAAAAACGGAATATGAACTTATGCCTCTAATTCAATAAACTTAATGTCTTACCAGTTGAATAAAGATTTTTATATAAATTTAAAATAGATATATTTACAATTTATAAAACCTCCAGAAAATATATCTTGAAGAGGGACTAACGATGGTTTGAACAGTCTTTCGTTTAAATCATCATCAACAACTAAAAAAACAACAAATATCATAGTCCTTTTATATATGGACTTATTAGTTAACAATTCCAAGTAAAAATATATATTTGTGAAGAAAATCATTTGATTTGATTAATTATAATAAAAATAAATAATTTAAACTACCATATCCCATAAGAATAAAATAACCGAGGTGTAAACAAGATTTTCTGAAGGGGGGGGGGGGGGGTTCTAATTCCAATCGAAGACCACTATTTATTTATTTTTAGCATATTTTTTTAAAGATTATGTAACGAATATATTATTACATTGCGATTATTTTTATAAAAGTAATTCACAAAAATAATTTTAAATAAGCCTGAACACCAATAAGGTGTTTTCCTCTAAACCAAGGAATGTTTGTGAGTCCACCTGGTCTTTTCTCATAAGACAGGGATAGGTAAACGAGTTCCATAAGGTTAGGGTAGTTAGCCAACCCTAATTTGTTCGAGATTATAGTTAATAGTTTTATGGAGAATGAACTGTCCTTTAGAAATATAAACAGGTTTGACAATGTCTGCTCTAAGGATTTGAGTCATATGAAAATAAGTATATTTTGTATTTTAAAATATCTTATTCTTTTTTTTATTTTGAAGCTATAGAAATCTCAAAAAATTAAGCATAGTTGCTTAATAAATTTAGTAAATATATATTTCCATTTCTTGATTTTCATACATAAATCATTTATTGCGTCCAGGTTACCGCATAATGTTATTATCACATCTACAACCCTATGTAGCATATTTTTCCATTCATTTAGAGTAATTGTCATTTGCTTATTCATAACAGGTATCAATTTCTTTACATTTTTTCACCTCTTATATGTTAAACAGAATTAAAGATGGGCAAATTCACTTTTTTGTACTCGTTAAGCCCCTGTGTAATTGGTAATTATAAAAACTTGATTTTAGAATTCTAAATTACAATTTTGAAATAATTTTATTCCATTATTAAAATTAAATAAGTATAAATTCAATCTTTTGCTCATTCATCGATTCATTTATTCGCTTATTTTTATAATTAATAAATTGCCGGAGCATATGTATCTTTTTTATAAAAGTTATAATTATAGTTGGGTAATTACTATATTTTTAGCTGTTTACGCCAATTTTTAGCCAGCGAAAACTAACTTTAGCCTCGGTGTTTTTCTTAAAAATATAGAAGCTCAAATTTGAAAGAAATTAAGATAAAATAAAAAGTCTTAATATTAATGGATTTTCTCTAGCGCGTGCCTGTTGATTGAGCCTAATTAGTCGCCATTTAGCCATTACCCAACTAAAGTTATAACTAGTCTGAGCAGATGTATTTTTTATAATTATATAACCTGATCAAATGTATCTTATATTTATATACATTAGACGGATGTATATTTTCCATAAATATACATATGCACTAGAAAGATGTACATCTTTTAATAATTATATTATAGCTTGGGCACATGTTTTCCATTTTTAGTTATTATTATCGATAAGTTAAAATTTCTATTTTTATATTGACAGGACTTTTCCCATAATTTTTTTTTGTTATTTTCTAAAGCTTTCGTTACGGTAAGAATCCCATAATTATACTTTATAAATTAAAAAAATTGAAATAAAATATTAAATTTATAAAAATTTGAGGGTGGAGTATTTATACAAGTTTAGATAATAGTTAAAACCACCCCACCCATTATATATAATGAAATATTTAAATTTATTATGCTAAGCATTACAAGTTGAAACCTGAATAAAATTTACTATCAGAACATATATCAATATGCCGATAATGCTTATTATAATTATTCTCGTGAGGATGGTCATTCGAGACTATGTAAGAGGGGGATTTTGAGGAGGATGGAATATCAGGGTCATCATTATTTTCATTATCCATGATATCATTATAATTAACGGTAGGCGTTAGTTTCCGTAAATCATATTCATCTGAAATTAAATGATAGAAAAGTAAATAAAATAGAATATTATTATTTTACTTGAACAATTGAGTAAGGGTAAAGATAATGGTGGAGTGTGACATATAGTTAAAGGTATCATTTCGCCTAAGCTCGTGATCTGAGTAGTATTGTGCCTGTGTAAATAAATGTGTGTGTGTATATATATATAATTTAACAAATAAATCATGTATATTTTATATATATTTTTTAGCTTAATTTATATAAAAAAGAGTTAAGATCAATTATTTGTAAATTTAAATACCTTTTTTCACCAATATTATGACCATTTTTTGTCTCAAATTTTTTATTCGAAATCTCTGATTTTGATGGGGGTGATTGGATATAAATGCTTTCTCTACATTTAACATTTAACGTGTTACCTAATTTGTCTAAAATAGTAAAGTTTTTAAAACATATTTACCATTATAATGATGTGATATAAATGCTAATATACTATTCCTTTTTTCATAATGTATTCTTCTTTCACATCCATTAAGACTTGAATCAATATAAGTCTGCATAATCATTGTTATAAAAAAATTATTGTACTTATGCGGCAATTATTTTTGTATATTTAGAATAATTTTAAAGTGCACGGTATATTATTTATTAAGTGTAAACATGGTTATGAAAAAGATTACTTTAAAATAATCCAAGTAAGATTTTGTATTACACCACTAAATGTTACTATATAATATACCAATAATAATTTTTACATGATATTAAATAAATTTCTTCTAAATATTCAAAAATAAATATCAATGCTGCATAAGCAAAATGACTTCTAATAATATTACGCATACTATATGGTCTTGATGAACATGAAGGAGTGTAATATAAAACAAGGAATAGTATGTTATGCATATTAGAATCCTGCAAAATCAATTTTTTTCAGAGCCAATTCAAAGTCTGGTGAATTTTTTTTAAGGCCTAGACCGGATCCCTGACCCAAATATTTTATAAATTCTAGGAAATATATCTCAAATTCAAAATATTTATTTTATGCTCTATTTAAATGCTTCGCATTTAATTTATTATATTCAGCAATGACTCACCCAAAATCCTGTCTCAACGCAGCGGAAAAATTATGCTGCTAAACCCTACTTTTAAAAGTAGCGCGCTACCGTAACCCATTACTTATAATAAAGCGCTATTAGCTACTTTTCTAAAAAAAAGTTTACAAATAAATTTGTATCATTTTTTATTTATAATGTAATTGTATATATAAAAATCAACAATTATTTTTAAAAAAAATTGAATATAGTAAAAGAATTTATATAAAAAATTGTCTAAAATTAAAGTAATAAAAATAGTTATGTAATGGTAATATCCACTTTTATTTATTTTCTTACGATTTAAAAATAAAATCATTTCTATATTATCATCTCCAATTCTAGACTAAGTATAAGTTTTGCTTAATTAAGTAATCGCTCAGCACTAGCACTTTAGGATAATGGAGACTTTAATTTTGTAAATAAATTTCTAATATAGGATAAATTATCAAAATGTTCTTTTAGTATTTTATGAAAAATGACATTTAATGGATTTTCAATTAGAATATATGCATTGCTTGGCATTATAAGATTATTCCTTTATCAAGAATCTATTAGTTTGATCTTTAGATCCTATTAACTTGATATGGCTAGTTTAGCTTAAATTTGGGATGAATAATACAGCTAGCTAATACATTCTCATTACTGTATAGAGTTGGGTTCTGAGAACATAAATGCATTAGTTAGGAACTTAAAAACGACTTCTAAAAAAATGGAAATAAAGGATAACTAATAAAAATCTCTTAAATGCCATCTTTCAATCATAAAATACTCAAAAGATAATTTTGATTTATTTTATATTAAAATTTTATTTATAAAATTAAATACTCTATTATCCTCAAGTGCTAGTTGCTGAGAGATTATTTAGTAAGGCAAAATTTATACTTAGTTGTTGGAAGTGAAGGATAAAGAAAAATTTTGAATATGTTATTTTGATGAATTTAATTGAATAAACGATTTTTATAAAATTATTTAGTATGCAAATGTTATGTTATATAAAAGTCGAGAAAATTTATAAAAAATCAATGTTTTTTTTGTTTGTTTATTGATATTCTTTTTGTATTTCGTTAAAATAAATTGTTATATAAATTAAATTAAATAGTTCCATTGATCTGGTTAACTAGTTGATATTTAAAGCACTGGTGCCGAATTAATTGATATTACACCTTTATTTTTCAGTCTAATAAAGGATAATTAAAGAGAAAAACAACAATTTATATATGTTATATATATATTATATATATATTAATGTTAGTTTATTATTTTTTTTATATTTAATCAATTTTGGTATTTAAACTATTTTTAATTAGATTTTTGTTGAGCACATTATAATGTATATTACGCAAATAAATATGTGGAGTATATTACTAGATAACATATGGATAATATTACTTTCTTTGATAATTTTAAGTTTTGTATTAGGAATAACCAATGACATATATAATACCTAGACTGACGATTCATTCATTAAAATGCATTTTTAAGTGTCGTTAAAAGCAAATCAGCTGGACCCGCCATTTTGGTAACACATAGAGTAATTATTCTCATGTTAAAAACTACTATAAAATTGATAACTTGCTTCCTTATTATCTCGATGATCCGATAATTCTTTAATAAAGTTTGCAACAGATATAGGAATAAATTAGGCTCTCGTTTAAAATTTTAATAATGATTAATGTAACCAAGATGGCGTCTCCAGCTGATTTGCATTAATGTACACTTTTAATGAATGAATCGTCAGTCTAGGTATTATATATGTTATTGGGAATAACAATAGGAAGAAATAATATAAAGTTAGAAAATAGAAGACAGAGATAATTACAGATCGATTATTTGTTTTAGCTGTAATAAATGTACACATGTCGTGACAATGCGAGCTAAGCATTTTAAGTGCGCGAAATATGGACGTAATGGTCACGTAGATACGAATTGTAGAGGGGTTTTTTTACAATCGTTTGAGATGCTCAAATTGAGGACAAGGGGCATTCACAAGAGAAATGTAATATATGACAAAATGAGAATAAGAATAATGCTATAAATAATAAAATTAATAATGTCTGATTTTTAAAATTATAATAGTAATTTAGGTATAAATGAAACAGATATAATTGATTTAAAATAAGAAAATAAAGATATTTTTAAAAATGGAAAAATTAAAGAAAGAGAAATTGAAACAGAAAATGTGTGTAAAATTGAATTAGAAAAGATAATAAAAAGAAGTAAATGCCCGAGGATTAAGATAAGAATAGGAAAAATTGAAATATTCTTTTTATTAGATATAGGAGCCGAAATCAGTTAAATGAGTGTTAAAGATTTTATAAATTTTTCCAGAAGAAAATTTCATAGTAAGAAGAATGAGAGCTAGACAATTAGACGGCAGTATTGTAGAGATTTTAGGTTTTTATGTGATAAAATTGTTAGATATAAATATAAGGAGATAACGTTATGGATTACAACATAAAAGATAGAGCCTATCTTAGGTTGGAAAGACATTAAGAACATAGGTCCAGATTATAATTGATGGTCTTTGTTTGAAACTGTCCGTGAGAACAATGTAAGTGGGGAAATAATATTAAGTGAAAATGATAAGCCTGAGTTACACCTTGTTTAGAAATTAAACATGATTTAGTTCTCGATAAATTGAGAAATTGAACACCAGAAATTTTGATTAAATATAGAAGTAACATAGAAGAAAATAATGAATTAAGAGTAGGCCTATTCAAAAATAATTCGAATATTCGATTCGAATAATTACGAATATGAATAATAAATTATTTGCTTTATCTGAATACGAATATTCAATTATTCGATTCGAATAGAGCGAATTATTCGTAATATTTAATAAATTGTTTAATAAATCTAACATTTGTTTATTTCTATTTGTTGACCTGCCAATCTGACAGGTGATGTGTTTGTGTTTATGAAAATTCTAGCACAAATTTATAAATTTCTGAAGTGAAAATTTTAAATTTTATTTGCCACATTTTTTGAATATCACGTAAAGTTTATTTTTTGAATCTCATAATAAATTATATTAAAAATTACACAAACCAGAGGTATATAAAAATATATTACATCTCTACAATAATTATTGTTAGCTAGCCTAATTATGTTAGAGGAGAATGCTTCTGATGAAATTATGCTTGATGTTGAAGATGAGAAAATTTCCTCGCAAAAGAGAGCAATCATATGGGATCAATATCAAATCCTAAAGACGGTAAAAAGTCTGCTCGCAATCATTGCAAGAGTATTATAAAATGTAAAGGTAAAACAACATCTCCTCTTATTGATCATTATAATAGGTTTTATTCACACCTTGGTAAAATAAAATTGACATTTTTTTAAAGTCTACACCAAATTTTTCAAAAAAAATTAATTTTAAGGAAAATTTATTAAATATTTAAATAATAGTATACCTTTTAAAATTACTAATTCAAATGATTTTAAAAATTTTATAAGTGATCTTGATTGTTCTGTTAAATCAATATGCTCCAATACTCTTAAATTGCACATGTATAATACATTTGCAGAAAAAAAGAACAGTTGTTAAAGGAAATAATATCTAAAAATAAAAGTCAGATTAATTTTTCATCTGACATTTGGACTAGCCCAACATAGGTTCCTCTTTTAGGGGTAACAGACCATTTTATTGATGATATTGGATGTCAGTCCAATAAATGAAACACATTCAGGTGAAAATATATTTAAAGCCTTTGTTAAAATAATTAAAAATTATAATTTAGAGAATAAAATTTTTTATATAACTTTAGATAATGCAACTAATAATAAAACATTTTCTTTAAAATATCCATTAATAAAAATAGGGCCATACGATGCTTTGCCCCTGTAATTAATTTAATATCCAAAGAAATTTTAAAAATTTTAGATCCTTCAATTCTAAAACTAAGAAACATTATTAGAATGATTCGTAATTCCCCTAAAAAATTAAATTTATTAAAAAATATATGTAGTACCCTACACCCTCCCCTAAATTTTTAACATATAGGAAGAATGGGAGGATCTTATAAAAATTAAAGCTATCCTATTGCCTTTATATGAAACTACAAATATGGTATGTGGGGAGAATTATCCTACTTATAATTTGGTTATACCTTATTATATTTTAATTCTTGAACATCTAAAAAATGAAAAACCTGGTTTCCATAAATCCTTTAACAATAGTTTCAAAGTAGCATGTGATAAATTGTTAGGCTATTATAATTTGACTGCCGATGAAATAGATAAAAAACTAGACATTTGGCTAAAAGAAGGAATAATAAAACCAATAGTTCATAGTGTATGGGCGACACAATTGGTCCCTATAAGAAAACAGGATA